CATCTCGTTTCTTTCCGGTCCGATCCCCCCCTCGCCCGTGTCCTAAAGCCCGGGCTGTGGTGCTTCCCACCTCCGGGAAGCCCACTTCCTGGGGCCTCTCCCGACTCCCTCAGCCCAGTGTCAGTGCCCCTCCAGACCCGCCGCCCCCACCTCGTTGATGTCGGTGCAGTGGGTGCCGTTGCCCTGCAGGCCAGGAGGGCAGGGCCCGCAGCGGTAGCCGGGGTACTCGTACACCTCCATGCAGTCCACGCCTCGGAAGCAGGGGTTGGGGCTGCAGTGCGAACGCTGCTCGTGGAAGCCTGAGGGGCAGGCCCGGTCAGAGCCACCCCAAGGCGGCCATTCCGACCCCTGCAGCAGGGCACCGCCACCGTGGGGCGGTCACGGGGTTGCCGGGAGCCCGCCCCACTCCCCACTCACCGCACACCTGACACTCCATGATGGTGTTTCGGATCAGGGACATTTCCTTCACCTTGCGGACACAAGGGGGGCAGTCGGCTCCTCGCACCCCCCGCCCCCAGTCTGCACACCCCCCCCGCCCCCGCCCCCGTGCAGGTGCGCTCAGACCTGGTCTCGGATGTCAGCCCGCAGCTCCACCAGGATCTGGTTGAAGAGGGTGAGCTGGGTGACCAGCGCCTTGGTCTGCTCTCCTGTCAGAGCCCAGGGCGCACAGAGGCTCAGAGACCTGGCCACCACCCTGGCCCCTCTTTAGGGTCATAAGCCAATTCCCCCGCCACTACTGCCTGCCCGCCTTTAAGCCCCATCCCTCTCCTGGCTGAAGGAGGCGGCTGCCCAGCCCCTGGCCCCTCCCACCTCCCCTCTGCCGCTCACCTAGGATGGAGTGGAGCGCGCTGGTCACTGGAGGGGAGAAAACACAGTCAGAAGGCAGAGACGTGAAGAGGGTCAGGAGGAGGAAGAAAAAGAGGGACAGGGACAAAGGTCTGGGGGGCCTTCGAAGAAGGACGGGCAGGTGGATGGCGGGGGGGCAGCGGTGACCAGCAGGCAGCACCAGCTCTGCCACTGGGGGGTGAGAGACTCCCGGCCCGGCAGGCCAGCAGGGATCCGAGTGAGAGGTGACCCAGAGCAGGCCCAGGCCCCCAGGCCACTCCATTTCCGCATGCCCTGCCCCGCGCAGCTCCTACTGCCACAGTCCTTTTTTTTTTTTTTTTAATCTTTTTAATGTTTTATTTATTTCTGAGAGAGAGAGAGTGAGCAGGGGAGGGGCAGAGAGAGAGGGAGACAGAATCCGAAGCAGGCTCCAGGCTCTGAGCTGTCAGCACAGAGGCCGTTGCAGGGCTCGAACCCACGAGCCATGAGATCATGACCTGAGCCGAAGTCGGACGCTTAACCGACTGGGCCCCCCAGGCGCCCCATCCACAGTCCTTTTTTAAACGGATCTGGGAGAAGTGGGCACTTAGGCAAGGACCTTTGAACGTCCCTGTAGGGAGACCAGGCGGATGGGCGAAGCTCAGAGAAACTGCTGGTGGGTGACAGCTGCCACTGAAAGCTAACGAAGACCCAAGACCCTTCTCTTAGCCGCCAAGGTCAAGCAGCTACCTCTCCCACTCCTCACACGGCGCTTCTGTCTTCTCCCAGACGGCTCTGTGTTCCCCAGCCACCCTGGTAGGCAGGGGACCCGACCCGGGAGAGCTCTGTGACCCACACCTCCGGGGACAGCTGTGTTATTTGGAGAGCACAGACCCGGAGGTGAAGGAGATTGGGGTAACAGGGTCAGAAGCCCCAGGAATGAGTGTTAAGGGGGAAATCAAGGAGACAGCCAACAAAGACCACAGGTATGATCTGGGCTCCAAAGTGTCAGCTAACGGAAGTCTGCGTGTTACCTGCGCTGTGGATGGACTCGTCCCCCTGGAACGGACATTCGCTCAGGGCTCCCACCCGGGCCATGGACCCGCCCAGAATCATTTTCATAGATTCCACAAAGCCCTGGGGGGACAGGAGCAGAGGGGGGTGGGAGGACCGGCCAACCCCTCCCACAGGGCGAAGTGTTTCCGCAGAAACTCGGGGGCCTCCCTTCCCGCTCACCTGCATCCTCAGATAAGCTTTCTGGCCGGTCCTGATCTCCAGCCCGTCCACCTCTGCTGGAGGAATGGGGGCCAGTCCTGGGAGCCCAGCGTGCTGGTCGCCCAGTTTGCAGTCCACGTAGAGTTGCAGGGCCAGGCTGGGCCGGGACGGCCCCCGGAGCCGCAGGAGAGCCGTGTGTGTCCGCCCGTCGGCCAGGCCCGCCTGCTGCAGGTTCACCGCGTGCACCTTGCCGTCCTCCCGCTGGTACCGCACCAGCACTGCCGGGGGGAGGGGGGGGTCAGTATGGGGACCGTCCCTGACCCCCTGCCTCCCAGCCGAGCCTCGCATCGACTCTTCTGGGCAACACACCTATCGTCCTCATTCCGCTAAGTATCTCTCAACACCTCGTACGTGACAGATGCTTTTCAAACGGGTTCAAAGATCAGGACTTTCTTACTCTTCAGTGGCATCAGGTTGCTCTGTCCCTTGCTAGGGTGGCAGCTGGTTCTGAACCCACTGAATTGTGCCAGGGATCTGCAGGACTGCTCATACCCTTGCCAGGACACAGAGACAGCCCCCCCACCCCACCCCGCCCCGGGGCAGCCCCGAGTGCAACATCCGCTTCCTACAAAGATGAGGCCTCACTCCACTGTTTGGGGACCCGGCCTTCTGCGGCACCCCCTAAGCGCCCCATACCAGGTGCCCCCTGGTGCCTGAGCACTGCCCGATGGGCCCAGGGAGAATTCAGAGGGATGCAGGGGTGGGGATGAGAGACAGTGCTCAGGAGGGGTGGGGGGGGTCACCGCTTCAGGAAAGGAGGTGTCCACCTTTGTTGATTTTGCCCACGACAGAGGCCTCCAGCCAGCGTGTGTTGTCCTGGCGAGAGTAGAGGCCAAAGAGGACGCCACCCTGCTTGGGGGGCAGGCGGAAGGTGGACAAGAGGTAGATGTCCCCAGCCGTGAGCAGGGCTGTCCGGATCTTCTCTGCTACAGCGGTCATCTGCCGAGACTCACCCACAGTCAGCAGGTCAATCACTGGCCGGGCAAGATTATCAAGGTCAGTGAGCGGGTCGGAGGGTTAGGGCCTGCCCTTTCCCCTGAGCCCTCGGGGGTGGAGCGTCCTTCGCCACTGCCTCCACGCCCGCCACTAGCCAGCGTTGGTCACCTTCTTGAAACTCAACCCCGGTTGCTATCGGAAGACAAGGCATCGTGCCTCCCTTTCCCTCAGTAGCGCCTACTGAGTCTGGTCTGGGAGCCCGCAGGCCCGATGCTCTCGGAAATACAGAAACAGCGCCCGGCAAACTTGAGATGCCCCCACCAGGTGGCGCAAGGGAGCCACTGTGCTGATCCCACGCAGAAGTAGCACCTGGTGCCCACAGCGCAGAAATGGAAAAGCAGTTTCTCTTTATGCTGCTGGGTTTGGCTCCTTCCGCACCCAAATGCCCCTCCTCCATCCTGGGGGCTCAGCGCACTCACTTTGGACGGGAAGAGCTGCCCACTGAGGGCTCCAACCCTCCTGTCTGCCTCTCCCCCACGGGAATGTAGGACCCGGCTCCTCTGCCTCCTGTGTCCTGGCCAATCTGTGGTTTCCCTTCCAGCCAGTCATGAATCTGGGCCTGTGTCATCTGCTCCAGCTACCTCTCCCACACCCACAGGCCCATCCCACAGCCAGACCTCCGGGAGAGCCCAGACCTCTGGGCCCCCACCCCCACCATGTCCCAGGGCAGCCAGGAGCCTGGCGCGGGGGTGGGGGAGGGTGAGGAAGCCCACCTTTGCCCTGCTCTCTCAGACCCCGGAATGCCTGCAGATGCTCAGACACCAACCCAGCCGGGCGGCCCTAGCACCCAGCTCCTGAGTCCTCTGCCCTGGCCTCACCTACTCACCCACTACCCTCTGCTGTTCACTCCTACCCCCATGGCCATGATTTCATCAATCTTCCCTCCTGCTCAACTTCAGGACTCTCCCGGTGCCCACATGTTTCCTGCTGCGAGGCTGGGGGGAAGAGGAGGGGAGGCAGAGACGGGCTTACCCTGGAGGTCCTGACTGGCAGACGCGAAAGTGCAAAGGAGGAGAAGAGCCAGGGCCCCCCGAAGTCCCTGCGTCTCCATGCCGCTCAGCTGGCTCACTACCCCTGGCAGGCAGGCGGCTGGGAGGGGAAAAGGCTAGGCGGAGAGAGCAGGGGCGGGGGGCGGAGGGACTGGAAGGGGGAGTTGAAGGGGGGGGCAGCAGGCGAGTGGGGGGGGGCTGAAACAAAGAGCTGCCAATCAGCCTGGAGGCATCCCCAGCTCTGGGAGCCAGGGGCCCTGGGGAAGAGCCCGAGGCCTCCCTGCCTCCCGCCTCTCCCTAACGGTCCTCCGGCCTCGGCCCAGGTGCCTCCCGCCCTCCGGGCACCCTGCTGCTGGGGGCCGCTACCGACAGCTACTGCTTCCTGTAAGCTCCTGGGAAGGCAGGAGCCCCCGGCAGGGGCAGCGCCAGACACTGGGCATTATTCCACTGCTGGCATGAAAGGGTGCCAAGGGAGTGGTGGAAAGTAGCTTGCTATCTTGCCCCGGGGATGCCCACATGGCATGAACTCTGCTGCTCTGACGAGGCAAGTGCTCTTTATTAGGGTGGGGGTCCGCGGGCACGTGACTCATTCCTAGGAACACTTAGAAGCGTCCGTTGGGAAGCGGAGGGCGAGTCTCACGCAGTGGTCAGCGAAGCGCTTGGAGGGAGGACTCAGGAGCGAGGAAAAGGCCACTGGGGACGGCAGTAAACCAGGGGACAGGCCAGGGGCCGGGGCCAGACCCGGAACACGGGGGGTACTGGCCGGCAGGCCGTGACCCGGATGAAGCGCAGGGGCGCCTCGGTTCCCGTTACCGCGGCAACGGCCCGCGAGCCCCACCCCCTCCCCCTCCCAGGCCCCAACCCGACCCGGCTCCGGCCGCCGCCGCCCCTGTTTTGTTTCCATGGCGACAGGCGGCGCGGGGCCCGCTCCAAACATAACGCGCTGTGGAAAACATGCGGCTCGGGGGACCCCCCCGCGGCCCCCGCTCCGGGCCGAGCCCCGCGGGGCCCTGGCTCAGCCCAGGCAGCGTGCAGATTAACGAGAGCCCCCAGAGCCGGACCGGGCGCACAAGACCCGCTGGGCCGGGGCCCGCCGCGCCCTCGGGGGTCCCGGGCTCCCCGCGGCCAGGGCGCCCAGCCTCCGCCAGGAGGGCCCGGCCGAGAACCCTCCCCCGCTTCGGGAGCCGCCTCTGGAGGCAGCAGCGGCCGCCCTCCCCGGGAGCCCGCGGCCCCGCCTCCCGCCGCCCCGCCTCGCCAGCGGCCTCCCCTCGGTCTCCGCCCCGGGCGGCCCGAGGGGCGGGCCTGGGGGGCGGGGCCTCGCGGGGGCGGGAGGAAGCGCGGGGGGAGGTGCTTCCGGGACAGAGGGCGGGCAAGATGGCGGCGCCCATGGAGCTGTTCTGCTGGTCGGGGGGCTGGGGGCTGCCGTCAGTGGACCTGGACAGCCTGGCCGTGCTGGTGAGGGGTGGCGCCGTCGCCCTCTGCTGCGCCCTGGAGGACTGGGGAGGGAGCCGAACTAACCGATCTTCCGAGTTTTACCAGGGCGCCTCAGCACGGGTGCGCTGGGGGAAACTGAGGCAATCGGAAGCTGTGCCTGGCTGATATGGGCTCAGTGCCCTGTGGTTTAACAGCCTAGGTTTGGCGCAGCCGTAGAAACAGGTCTGGGCGGCAGTTCAGGAAGTGGGGTTTAGTCCTCGCTCATCCATTTACTGGCTGTGTGACCTTGGGGCTATCCCTGGTCTCGGAGCGCTGTGTCTTCCCCGGGAGGTTTACCGAGCCTCGACCACCTGAGGGTCCTCAGGAGGGGCACTCCTGTCTGCATAGCCTCCCTTTCCCCCTCCCCTCCCCTCCCCTCCCCTCCCCTCCGCTACACAGCATCACTGAGTTCGTTTATTGAACCGAAAGGCTTCCTGCCAGAAGGAAAGAGCTTAGGAGTCCGTTCACGTTATTCACTCCTTCCTTTTAATGAGCACGTATCAGGCCTCTTCCAGGTGTGACTTGCCACGCAGAGATGAGTAAGACTTAGTTCCTCCCCTGTTGTTTACGGGAAGGCGGACGTGTTAGCAAATAAATGTAACAGGTCCAGGTGTTAAGGTTTAAGTAGGAACAGGCCACAGCCTCCCTAAGAAGGGCTTGCTCCGTGCCTCCAAGGACAGGGGTACACTGGGTGGGAAGAACTTGGGAGGATGCGTGTGCATCATGTAGATGGCAGGACAGGAGACCCGGGAAGCCCCTTACTGCACACCTGCTGTCGCGGGTCTCCCTGCTGTAAAGTGGAAACCATAACGTCAGCCACTGTGAGCCATGTACTAAGCACAGCACACAAGGAATTCAATAAATATTATTTCTTTTCTTCCTTATTAATGTTTATTTATTTTGAGACAGTGTATGCAAGCAGGGGAGGGGCAGAGAGAGAGGGAAAGAGAGAATCCCAAGCAGGCTCAGCACGCTCAGTGCAGAGCCCACCGCAGGCCTCGAACTCACGAACCATGAGACCCTGACCTGAGCCGAAATCCAGAGTCGGAGGCTCCCCTCTTGTTTCCCGTCTTGATTCCCCTGTGGGGCCCTCTCTGCCTTCTGCTTGTTTTCCTGCAGACCTATGCCAGGTTCACTGGTGCCCCACTCAAGGTGCACAAGATCGGCAACCCCTGGCGGAGCCCTTCAGGTACCCAGTGCCCCGGGGGCCAAGGAAGGTGGGGGCAGGACAGGTACCCAGCGTGGGGGGGGGGAGGGGAGGGGCAGGAGACAGGACGCTGCTGTAAGACACGCGGGTGGGCAGCTAAGGGTCGGTGGGCGTCCTTTTCCCTCCGCGTCAGGAACTCTGCCTGCCCTTCGAACCAGTCATGGAGAGGTCATCTCGGTGCCACACAAGATCATCACCCACCTTCGAAAAGAGGTAGGTGGCTCGGGTAGGAGGGCTGCCGGGGAGAGTACTTGAGTCATGTGAGCGCACCACGCCTGTGTTATCTGTGCCCAGCCGGACGCGGGCCGCCCACAACTTCAGGGAGCGCACAGTCTGAGGGCAGAGACACACTGTGTGTGGACTCAGTAGGCGCTCGGCCGGGCATTAAGCTGGGCTGCTGGGGACGTATCCGGAGCCACGGTGCCTTGTGCCTGCTGGGCAGGGAGGGGGGTGAGCTGATGACACGTGGAAGGGAAAGGAGAGCAGAAGAGAACTTTGGGCTCAGGTGAGGACCTTGGAGGTGGCTCTGGAGAGGGACTTGTCAGGGCCATTGTCCTTTTCTCAGGGACCGGGTTGGGCTGGATGTGGGCCTCGGGATGGACAAGGCCTCGAGCCACAGTGGGGGAGCTGAGACAGCGTTACAGGAGGAACGGGGAGATCTTGACTGTGCTCTTCATTCTGTCCTTGACTGTGTGACCCTGGGCAAGTCACTTAACCTCTCAAAGCTGTAAGCCCCTTTGTGAAACTAGGGGGCTCAGCCAGGATGCCTCCAAAGGCTCGTCTCATTTTCCTGGGAGAACCTGGCAGACGTACGACCTGCTTCACTTCTCTTTCCCAAAACTGAAGAGCTGGGGGCGTGGGGGGAGGGCACCCGGGGAGAAGCCAGAGTTCCTGGCAGGCCAGGCCGCCCTGTTTCCTTATGTGCGAGGGCGGCGCTTCCAGTCTCCAGAGTTTGCTCCTAACACAGCCACATTGAGAGAGGGCTGTTACCCCATTCTGCAAGGGAGAAACTGAGGCTCAGCAAGACTTTTTTTTTTTAATGTTTTATTTACTTTTGAGAGAGAGACAGTGTGAGCAGGGGAGGGGCAGAGAGAAGGGAGACACAGAATCCGAAACAGGCTCCAGGCTCTGAGCTCGCTGTCAGCACAGAGCCCGACATGGGGCTCGAACCCACGAACCGTGAGATCATGACCTGAGCCAGAGTCGGATGTTTAACCGACTGAGTCACCCAGGCGCCCCTAAACGAGACTTCTTTAAGGGTCGCGCTCCAGAGGTTCTGTGGGGACAAACCTTGGGATGCGCGGAGGGTGGCAAAGGTGTGGCGGCCAAGATGTGGGGCGCTGGGGTGGCATGTGGTGGTGGTGGTGCCCAGACCGTGGAATGAAGTAGAAGAAAGAGCTGAGTCCCGGGCGCTGAGACAACAGGCCAGGGAGCCCTGGCTCCCCACGGTGGGCCGAGGCGCCCGCACCCGAGCTCCGCTCTGCCAGCCCCGTGGAGCCTGGACTGGGAGTTCCTGTTAGAAAGTGGCCGCCGGCGGGCGCGCTGCCAGCTTTCCGTGGAGACTCCGGGAGCCGCTCCTGGTCTGCGGCTGGGCCTGCCTCCCCCCCCGCGGGCGCCCGACCTCGATGGCCAGCAGGCTCCAAGGCCCAGGCTTTCCGCCAACAGCAGCAGGCTACTGGACGGCCCGGCAAGGGGGGCGGGGCCCTGGCCTACATCTGCTACCCTCCCGGGCCAGCGAGCCTGGTAGCGGACAGGCTGCCTCCCTGCTCGGGGAAGGGCCCCTGCAGCCTCGCGGCGTCCCCCTTCTCCACAGAAGTACAATGCTGATTACGATCTGTCGGCCCGGCAAGGGGCGGACACCTTGGCCTTCATGTCTCTGCTGCAGGAGAAGCTGCTTCCGGTGCTGGTGCGTCCCCAGGCCTCCTGGCATTCGGGGCCAGGAAGGTGGCGGGAGGGGGGAGGGCACATGCGCCTGCGCTTGCACAAGCACGCGGCGGGGGGGGGGTGTTCCTCCCTAAGTTAGGCAGGTGCGCTGGCCCAGACCTGCTTCATCCCTCCTGTTCCCCCCCATCCAGATCCATACTTTTTGGGTGGACACCAAGAACTACGTGGAAGTGACCCGGAAGTGGTACGCCGAGGCCATGCCCTTCCCCCTGAACTTCTTCCTTCCCGGCCGCATGCAGCGGCAGTTCATGGAGCGGCTGCAGCTGCTGTGCGGGGAGCACAGGCCGGAGGACGAGGAGGAGCTGGAGAAGGAGGTGCGCCCGGGGCGGGGGGCGGGGACAGGGTGTGGGGGGGGGCGCCCAGGGTCTCAGCCCTCCCGCGTCCTCCCTGCAGCTGTACCAGGAGGCCCGGGAATGCCTGACCCTGCTCTCCCAGCGCCTGGGCTCCCAGAAGTTCTTCTTCGGGGACGCGTGAGTGTGCCCCAGGGGGACCCGGCGGGCTGGGGGAGAGGCAGGCTCAGACGCCCTGCGGGGACGGGAGGTCCTGGGGACAGACGCAGACGACAGAGGGGCTGTGTGTGAGGCGGGAGGGCTGCCAGGCACAGGAGCCGCGGGGCTCTCAATGTGCCCTTTATGCGGCCCCGGGATAGAGTCCCATTCAGGGCCTGCCTGGCGCCGCTTGGGGGCCCTCCCCCTGCCGGGCGGGGATGGGGGGGATTCCAGGACCGGGAGCCTCCCCCCCCCCCCCCCCGCCCCGTGGGGCCCCAGGCGCTCCCCTGCAGCCCTTCTCTTCCCTCGCTCCAGCCCTGCCTCCCTGGATGCCTTCGTGTTCGGCTACTTGGCGCTGCTGCTGCAGGCGAGGCTGCCCAGCGGGAAGCTGCAGGCCCACCTGCGGGGGCTGCACAACCTCTGCGCCTACTGCGCGCACATCCTCAGCCTCTACTTCCCCTGGGATGGAGGTGAGCGCGGGGCTTGCGGGGGGGGGGGGTATGGGGACAGGACCCCAGAACCAGCCGCCATCGCCACACCCTTCCTTCCCTGTTCCCCAGCGGAGGTGCCGCCGCCACGCCAGACGCCAGCGGGCCCCGAGGCCGAGGAGGAGCCGTACCGGCGGCGGAACCAGGTGCTGTCCGTGCTGGCGGCGCTGGCGGCCATGGCCGGCTACGCCCTGCTCAGCGGCATCGTATCCATCCAGAGGGCGCCGCCCGCCCGGGCCCCTGGCCCGCGCGCCCTGAGCATGGCCGAGGAGGAGGAGGACGAGTGACCTGGCCCCGCGCTCCCAGGCCGGACTTTTCTGCTCTCGCACATTCCAGAGGCTTCTCTGCTTCCTCGCGGTCGTTACGGCCGGAAAACGGGCGCCGCTCCCGGAATAAAGTCGTCCACGCGGACTGCAGTCACACGTTCTCTTTCTTAAGGGGCCGTCCCCTTTCCAGGAGCCGCTGGCCGGGGGCCGTCGGGCTGCCTGAGCCCACCTACCGGTGCCCTGACGCCGTCGGCGCTTGCGCGCGGCCCGTGGGAGACACAGCGCCCCGTCTGGGGCCGAGCTTCTCTAATCTCCCTTTCCTCAGCCTCCCCGCCCCCAGCTTGTGTCCGTACAGACAGTGAGCTCACCCTGGGCCCCGGCCCAGTTTCCACGGGAGCCAGCACGTCGCGCACACGCACACAGGCCCGGGGGCGGGGCCGCCGGGGCTCCCTCGTCCTCCCCTTAGGGGCCTCCAGGCCCTGGCACCCACCGGGGGGAGAGTGAGTCACGCAAACCACGGCCTCTGGGCTCACGTCACCCAAGCTCACCCTGGCCCTGCTATACCCTCTTTAGCCACAAACAGCATGTGAGCCGACTGTGTCCCTTTAATGCCCGTTCCGAGCCCGGGCGCTGCCAGTGCCTCTGCCCCGTCACTGGCGACGCCACAGGTACGTGTGGATGGAGTAGCCGGGGGACAGCGTCTCCATGTAGCCGACGGCAGGGTCCTCGATGGTGAGGGGCACGTCCTTCGAGGAGCTGGGGAAGCAAGGGAGAAGCTGAGCGGCCAGTCCTGCCGAGCCCCCGCTGTCTGGGCTTCCCCGACCCCCGGCCCTGCCGCTCTCACCGGTTCAGCACGACCAGGGCCGCAGAGCCGTCGGGGCGCATCAGCGCCACCGCGTCCAGGCTGTTCTTCTCGCTGGCCAGCAGCCCCACCCTCTGCGAGCCCTCCGGAATGAACTTGCTGGGGGGAGGGGGACGGGCATGGTCGGGACCCCAACATCGCCCCTCCGGGCCGGGGCCCGCTTCTCTGGGGGCAGCGCCCCGGCCAAAGCTCGGGCCACCCCCAGACCGGTGCTCTGTGCTGCTGGGCAGCCCCCGCCCTCAATCCCCGTCCCCAGCATCCGGCTGCGGGGCTCGCCCTCCGCCACCCAGTCACTTCCTGCCTGGATGGTGCAAGAGGCCCAGGTGTGTCTCTCCCAGGCTCCCACCCTACACGTCCTTCCGTCCCCTCCCGGGTGACGTGAGCCCCGCGCAGGGGACACCGGCCTGGCGGGGGGGGGGGAGCCCTGCCCTCCACGCACCTGAAGTGGCCCAGGTGATAGAACATGGGCTGTTTGTAAAACGTGTTTTTGGCGATGTCCACGATGATGGGGCTGTCGACAAAGTTGCGCACCCAGTTGGGTCCCCCTTCGGGGTTCAGGGCGAGGTTCCAGTCTGTCCAGCCAACCACGTGGTAGAGGAGGTTCTGGGGTAAGAGCAGGGCAGAGACAGAGGCCCCAGGTGGGGTCCCCAGGCAACGTAGTTAAGACCGGCCGGTGGTGCCCGGCCCTGTGAGGGGCGCTCTGCACCTTTAAGACCTGAGGGCGGGGCGGCGACGGAGGCAGGGAAGGAACCAGCAAATGAGACCCCAGCGTTGGAGGAGAGGGGCGGTGGGATGCGCGAGCCTAGGAAGGGGAGACAGGATACAGAAGCCCCAAAGCCCCAAGCTTGCCCCAAAGAGCGAGTCACAGGGACAAGCTGGGGAAGAGGCCGTCCCTGTGGTGAGATGAGGAAGGTGTGCAGGGGCGGGGTGGGCCGGGCGCTCACCGTGATGATGCTGTGGCTGTACTGCGCCCCGCGGTCCCAGGAGCCTAGCCGCACGCTCTGCTCCCAGAACTTGGAGCCCACGCACGCCTCTGAGGCAAAGAGCATGGTGTCGGGAAACAGGCGGTGCGTCTCCCCCAGGGTGGCCTTGGCCGGGGCCAGGAAGTCCAGGTACCAATGGACGGCAATGCCATGAACGTACTTAGCCGCCTCTGGGTCCGCCAGCACCTGTACGAGGAAGCAGCCACTAAAACTGGGCCTTGCGTGGAGGGTTCTGGAAGCAGCCCTGGGGACCTGAGATACGGGTAGTGGGAGGCAGGCAACTGGAGGGGGCTACAGTGAGGAGTCGCAGGGACCTCTGGGTCCTGGAGATCCACAGGGGGTTATGGCCCCTCAGCTCCCCACCCCGGGGGGGCCGCCTGGGCGCCTGGCTCCAGCCCAGGGAGTTCCAGGAACCAGGAGTTGGGGCAGGGGAGCCAGCCTGGGCGCCAGGCGGCGGGAGGCCCCGGAGGCCCTGGGCCTTACCACCTGGGCCCAGCGGGGCAGCAGCAAGCGCTGGTCGTCCAGTATGAGCAGGCGCACGTCGCGGTGCGTGCTGTTGGCGAGGGTAGGACCCAGGTCCCGGGCGATGAAGTCTCGCTGGTGCTCAGGCGTGAAGCCCAGGCACTGGAAGGGGTACCCGCTGATCAGCCCTGCGGAAGGCTCGTTCTCTGCTGTCACTGCCCAGAACCGCAACTTGTGCTCGGCGTACGCATCTAGGAACCTGGCGGGGAGAAGGCTGAGTGTGGTCCTGGGCAAGAGAGGAGCCCAGGACCCTGGGGAACGGAGGCCCCCTGAGGTGGGGACGCTGCAGGCAGAGTCCGAAAGGCCCAGGAGATAGAAGGGTGGTCTGAGGGGTCGGATCTGGGGGTGACCCGGGCCCAAGGGGGAGGGGGGTGCAGACTAGGGCGTCAGACCCACGGGCTTGCAGTGACTCCCTTACTTAACAAAGTATCTGGCCCAGGTCTGGTGGTAGACATCTCCGGGCTGCCCCTTGAGTGACCCCTTCCCGTTCACTGCCCCGTTGGTTTTCAGCCAAGTGGGTGACGTCCAGGGACTGGCGAAGAGTGACACGGGCCGTGGGGCCAGCTCCAAGGCCTGGTGAATCAGGGGTATCTAAGAGACCGTGGAGGTGAGGAGAGAGACACTCAGAGCTGGAACACGGACAGACTGGCCCAACTGGCGCTTCAGGCCGAGCCGCCGGCCCCTGCCCTGTCCCGCCACCCCCCACCCCCCGCCCGGACGGAACCGAGAGCAGGGAGCGGGCTCTGTGTCCCCCGCAGCCTCGGCCGGCCTGAGGCTTCATGCCCAGCAGCCATCGGCTCCACGGGGGCCCGAGTGCCCACCTTGAGCTTGACGTCCTCCTCAGGGAGGATGAAGTCACGCAGCTGGAAGTCGTCAGGGCTGTCGTCGTAGGTGTAGGTGCGGATGGAGAAGTCGCAGCTGGCCATGGGCACCCGGATGATGTTGTACTCGATTCCTGCGGGAAGTGAAGGCCAGACAGGAGAGCCAGGCTCAACGGGCCAGTGCGGGACCCGCCTACCACTTGCCGGGCCTGGGTTATGTCTGGGCGCCTGGGGCCCGTGGAGCCCGGCGCCTGGGTGGAATGCTCAGGGAAAGGTAGGAAGGACCCAGATGTCAGGGACGGGTGGGGTCAGGGTCAACGGGAAGGTCAGGGTGGCGATCGCACCATGTCATCTGGTCCCCCTCGTCCTCACCTTCCTCGGAGAAATAGGATTTGAGGAGCAAATCCCGGGCAGCGGGTGACAGGGCGAGGATGTTGAGGGCAGCGGCGTCCGTCATGGCCCCTCCAAACCCCTTCACTTTCTGGAACTTCTGATCTGGCTGCAGGGTCAGGAGCAGCCCTGAGGACGCGCAGGGGACGGAGGCGTCAGCACGAGGGGTGGGGGGTGGCTGGCAAACCACAGGCTCGACTTAGCTGGGGGGGGTCCCGCCTGCGGGGGGGTCACCTGTGCCCGTGCGGGTGGCCCGGATGGGCCCCAGACTCAGCTCCATTCGGCGCCCACTGCGCGTGCTCTCATATCGGGCGAAGGTGCCAGGGGCAGGCAGGGCCAGGGCGTCAAGAGAGTCGCAGTACGTGGCGTTGCAGACACAGACCACCGAGCTGTAGCCAAAGCTTTTGGGGCTGCAGGGGCGGGCACCTGGGGGGGCAGAAGCGGAGGCTGAGGGAGGAAGGCTGGCAGAAGGGACGCGCTGGGTGGATGGACGGATCGGACACTGATTTCAAAGGTCTCCTCACTGTTCTTCCCCCGCAAGTTGGTCTCAGTCACAAGAAGGCTTGCTGAGCAGCCCCGACGCTCCGGGGGGCCGGGAGGCACCCAAAGGCCCGGCGCGTAGAAGGGAGCCTCCCAGGGCTGCCTCCCCTCTGTGACTCACTCACCTGATGCCCACGATGCAGCCTCAAGTAGAAGCAGTCCCAGGAGGCTGGCAGCCACAATGCGCCCCCTGCCCTGGGGCTGGGGGTGCTCCTGAGGACAGAGTGAAGAGTGGCTGGGAGCCCCCTCCCCGCCGGGAGCCCCTTTCCCCTCCCAGCGACTCTTCCATGGGTGGGGCGCCCATAGCCTGGCTCCCACCTTCCTCTGATAGTGGTGGCACTGGACCCAGAGATACCTGGGTGCTGCCCTCCCACCCAGCCCTCTGCCCACCCCAGCCAGGACCCTTCTCCACCCCTCCTCCCGCCCGCTCCTCCCGGACCCCACCCCCCCACATCTGCCCCTCCGTCAAAGAGCTGCGATGGCCTGGATTTGAGGAGGCTGTCATCCACTCGATTCCAGCATCCGGATGGCCAGGATTCCGGAGCAGAGTGACAGGACCAGGGGAGCCCTGGCTCGCCCACCTGGCGGAGAGGACGGGGACGCTCCATCACCAGGTGACGGCTCGGCAGGGTTCCCAGGCCTCGGAGGGATAGAGGATCCACTAAATAGAAACGGGGAGTCAGGTCCTGACAGTAGCTACAGGCACCTGATTAGCCCTGTGGGTTTAGTTCCGGCATAAAGGCGTGACGGGTCATGTGACGACTCTGGGACAGTCACGTGATACAGGAAGCCAGGCGGTTGCGGCCATACTTGTAAAGGGCGGCCGGCCTCCTCCAGGCTGTTGGCGAGGATTCATCCTGGGATATGCTGGAAGGCACGCGGATGACAACCTTGGGAAGAACGTAGATCAAAGATCTGCGCGGAAGGTAGAGGCTCCCGAGTCCCCGAGGCCGGCAACCCAGCAGGCACGCTGCTCGCTTGAGAAAACAGATCCGGAAGTGATCCCTAATGAAGGCGGGGCGCCAGGCTGGC